TTTCTAGCGATAAATTTTGCCCGCAAAGTCTAGTAATGAATAATTGAGCATCTTTGAATGGGCAGAACAAAAAGAATGCACGAGTTAAAGCCGACTTTGAGGCCAAGCAAGGTTCTACACGGTGGAATAAGTGCTACAATGCTAAGGCTACAAATATTATATCATCAAGCCTTCACACACAAGCACGAAGATCGAGATTCGCCTCAACGTTTATCTTTTAATACCCGGTGATCAGGAGTAAAGTCTAAGGCAGCATTTTGCATCTGATCAGCTGCCAACATTGCTATCGGTCCATCACCAGCCCAAATCAAATTGTACATTAGATAGATTAACTGCTCCGGCTGATATTCAGACTTTATGCAGCAGCTTAGCGGTTGAGGAAGCATAATTTAGGTCACCGACCTTTCGATCTTTACAAGAACCAATCAACGAAGAGCTGCTATTTCCGCAGACTTCGTCAAGTGAATAATGCGCCACTCCCCGTGCATCTGAAGGGCATTGCCCAAGATGCCTTGGACCTCGTCCGGCCATGCCACTTTTGGCATACACCGCTTTGCCTTTACCAGAAATTGTGAATAGTTATATAAAGTTCTGGAAATCTCCTGATCGAGTGCGTGAAGATCTGCAGCATCGTTGTCTGTTGCCTTTGAGAGATCTCGGCTGTCGTAGCGTATCCCCTGCATGCAAATGGCAGACAATACTCGTAAGCTGATACACACATATCCGCATACGATTGTGCGATGTGATCACGTGTAACCACTCGATTTCGAACTTTCTTTGGCGACATTTGGCTCACGCGAGTTGTGTTCCAGCGCATCAAGATTGTACCTTAGTGCAAGCATACTACTGTTTAGCGAATCAAGTTGCGAACAAGTGTCGATCTAGAGATGAATATGATCATCAGACAATTTAGGAGCTTGTGCTAAGATTAGTATGATATCAAATCCCGAATTCGCGGTAAATATCGATGTTTTGGCCAACATGAAGCCTTTGCAACAAGACATAGGCCAAAATTGCATCACACATACTGAAGTATATTTGTGATGAAATCTTCGGTCAAAAGTGCATTAAGTAAGTTTACTTTCACGATAGAATCATATCGAATCAGCTGATGGCCAAATTCTTACCCCGGACTGTTGAATACATGGACGGACCAAAAGGAACCATGATTTCTGCATTTATCTTGAGATTACGCCGGATAACAATGTTGAAGAACATTGTCGCGGATACCTATGCATACGTAATTCTATTTTATTTAGATCGTACAGAAAATTAACCTCGATTAGCCTTGTGGTGAACTTAATGGCTACACATTCATGATTGAGGGTTCAAACCCCAGAGGATTAAATTTTACTACCTAGTGTTTTGGGTGTCCACTCGTCCTTTGTGATGGATGACTGCAGCATCTTTATATTCATTTTATTGAAGTCAACTCATTTGTGACGCGTGATATTTTGTTAAGCTATCTCCGTCATTGCAGCTTATTAGGCTTCTCATCTTCGAGCGCCAATGTGATCGTATATAAGTGTGAAAAGTAAAATGTAGGCAATCTAAAGCGTGAAATGTGACTTTCCTTAACGAAGGCATAATATGGAGTGTTTGTCCTCTCTTTCACAATAAAATAGTATCAGTCAATACTAGAGTTTTACTTGATACGTCAAGTTCTCTAATGTGATGTATAGGGCGGTGTAGTAAGTCGCGGTAAGCTTGTCGTTGCAAATATCTTTTTACTTTTCAATGTATATATTTGTACACAAAAACATCTGAAAGCAACACACGTTTGAATCGATGCGAGAACCAAGGTTCATTCACGCGGAATGCGTGAATGAAGTTTGCTATTATGTCGTCTTTCCCTCGATGTTAATGTTGTTGCCATTATGATACAGGTAAGCAACTCCGTTGTGACTTATGCTCGTCAAGCTTCAAGCTCCACCCTTTTCAGAATACTAACGTTTACGTGACTCTCAGGTCAGTCATACTCTGCAATGACTTTTATTCGGCATATATATCATATGTTATGTAGAATAAGGTTCATTGACGGAGGTTTTCACGCACCAACGTGTATGCCTGTAGGTTATGAGTGATTTGCAGCATGGATCACTGTCTTACTGAGTCCTCGACTCGAGTAGTTTCCATGCATTACCATATCAGAGTTGTTTATCAAAATTGATATTCAACGTTGTGCTTAGGCCGACTCTGCATATCAAGCTTTGAACCTTTCTTTTCCGATCTTGGCAAAAGAAAAAAAATTGTTTGCTGCAAGCGTAGCAAGCAAGGTAACGATAGCGTTCAAAATACCACACTAGATTGCTCGGCAGTCCTAGGAAGATTGTGCCGATGACTTGTCATGGGCTGTCGTCGACAGCAAAAGACGCATAGGAAGACTCATAATTATTAGCGACGAAGCCGGTGAAATGAACGAAATATCGCGCTGGCTACAGACCTTTGAGGAGGCCTGAAAGTATTCATGTAAGACAATTGCTTTCGCTATACTAGGCCACGGCGTGGCTTTTATACGTATTGTATCGGGATAGGGCCATTTAGTACGACAGCGCTACATTAGCGCTGCGGCAGGAGATCAATCCCGGTACGCATATAGTTGCATACAATTTGCTCTTGATAGCTGTCTAAGTTAAGGACTCACTTATGTGGCAACACATCTAAATCCGTCAAGTCCAAGTCGTTAGCGGCAAAGCCCCGGTAAGAATTATCCAAAAAAATGCTGGAGTCCTTCCTTCATCGAGCAAGTTGGTTTGAGTTCGATGCTGACTCGTCTTTTTTCTTCATGGTATTTTCTGCGTCAGATGACAATACCCCGAGCAATATTCTGGACCTCAACGAGGTGGGTCTGTGCGCTTTGGTAGACTTGCTTATCCGGTGGAATTTGGGGCCATGGCTTTTTTCATTCTTTATTTTGCATAATCTTGATTATTGTCTTCTGGCTTGCCGTGAGAGGAAAATGTGTTGGCTTCAGTCAGGCAACTGCTCATTTCATCTTAAAAACAGCTCTAGTGAGACGAATGTGTGATGAATTGTTTGCTCAGCTGTTAAATAAACCACTTCTCTGGACAAGGACTATTGCGCCGATCATTCTGACGACTTTTGTTTAGCTCCTTATGCAGAAAACTGAAACAACCGTCGTGTGATCGGTTGTCAGCTATGGCATCTCGGCCACTTGCAGTCACAGCTAACACTACCGTGATCTGATGCAAACCCTGTCGAACGGAGTACAACATGACGTGCTCCGGTGATGTCGACGGTTGTATCTCGTGGATCCTCAAAATAAACAGCGGTTTCGTCCATTGAAATAGTTCTCTCAAGCTCGAAACACGGGAGATTACTTATGAGATACTTCATGTAGCTGACGGCACGCCAGCCTCTCCCCATCTGCTATACCTCCACCACCACCGGCAACTGCAACGTATTTCTCTTCGAGCCCAAATACCGATGGGATCGAACGACAATAAAATTGTTGCGCAAACGTTTGCTTCGTCCATCGCACACGAGTCGCTGATAGATGCGCCCACGCATGACGACAAGTCCATGGGCCCCCGGGTGACGCTGCCTTTCGTTCGCTCATTGTTGCGCGTTACGATGGCGGATATGCTATCGCAACAATAGCGTAATCGCGTAGACCGAATGTTGTGCGCCACTACATGAATACACCCAAGCCTCGAACCTTTGACATCAAAGCGATATATTGCGTCTGTGGCGGTCACTGGTGTTCGCTGCGTCTTGCAGCGACCGTACGTGCTGCTGCTCGCCAGGATGGCATGGTGACCAATATCGAACAGGGGCTCGCAAAACCTTTGCTAGTGATGCCCTGGAGGATCTGTACAGATTGAATGGCGTTTGACAAATCTTCAAGCTCCCTGGCAGCAACTTTCTTGTCAAAATAAAATCAAATGGGTCGTGTCTACTCCTAGAATGCACGAAAGTGGACATCATCGGGGTGTTTTTCTATCTTGAGAGTCCGGTCTTAAGCGCGAAGTACTTAATCGACATACTTAATGTCGACTCGGACAATGACACGGACCTCTCTTATTCCTATTTGCATAACCAAAAAGCGGTTTGGATGGAAAAATCGCATTTGGAACGCCAGGATCCACTTGACCAGCTGACTTGTGAGGTAGAGGATTCAGTTGTGGTCGTTGATAAGTAGTGTCAATGTTATTGATATGTGATCAATCTTAAACATTCCTCGTGCCACAGACGCTCGCGAGACCTCGATGATGAATTCGACGAGGCTCACCACTTCGTACATGACACGAGATTCCACTGCGCGGTACAGTATCGTCGAGATTTTTGGCGTCTTATCCTTCGAGCTGAAGTTCGTAATTTTTCGCTTTACCTCTCGCATAGTATTTGGTTAATCATGTAAGAACCTCATTGTCGTGTATATATCCCGACAGTGTGTCTCATTTCTTACTTGATTTCATAACGGCTGAACAACACATGATATCGGAAACGAACGACGTAGAGCATAAGAACTTGAAAGTTGGTTCAACTTCGCTCAGGTTGCTGCTCCCTAAACTTTATCACGATATCTTCACTTCGACATCGTGATATGATTTAATGGAGAGTGACCGGAGACAACCAAAATGGATCTTAAGGTACAATCTCCAATGTGAGATCACGCGGCGCAACTTCCCATCAGATATCCCTGTTCTTAAGGTCTTTAACAGCCAATTTGATTCTGCTCGGATCTGAAATTGCACTTCGATCAAGCCGCATAATCACTCACAAAATTAGCGCATCATCGGTGCATCGAAATTCCTAGGCTACAGAGCAGTTTATGATTGCACGTCGCAGGTCTTCGGCGTGTAGACGCTTAAAGATGTAGTGCCTGAAAATATATCTGGTTCTCACAGCACAAATCAATCCATGTCACTTTGAATTCACACTCTCACCACCAACACCAGAAAACAGGCTAAGCAGCAAAGATGTATTAATGCTATGAGATAAGCTTGGAAGAAAGAAGCGACAGTGAGTGGCAGCCTCAAGATGAGGAAGTATGTAGCGATCGTAATCCAGAGCCGACTCATGGTATGTCGTGGCCCCAGAGTGTGTTGATTAGTCATAGATGAAGGTGATGTCTTCTTCGCCAGAGCCTGTGTAAACCAGTATGTGTCGCGGAATTCTGTGGCAGGCCAGGTTGAGACGGGAGACTTTAGGCTGCAAGTAGATGGACCAGGCATGAGACTATAAAGAACGGTCCATGCTTGTCACGATGTAACTATACTGCTGAGACAAAACAGCCGCGTGATGCGCCAACCTAACGAATCAGTAAGACACCCAGGTCGTAGCGAAGAAGACTGTCCTCGTGAACTGAATGACCGGGAGATCTAGGGGCTGTAAGTTTTGCCTCATCACCTCCGACAAAATTTCGCATTCAGCTTCAAGATTTATTCTAAGGCTGTAGTCCAAAGAATTGCAAGAGAGCGAAACCATCGAACCGGGCCCCTTGATACAGGAGAAAGGGCTGATTTGCCATCCATGACGGATGGTGATATCAAGGATTTGCCTCATGCATATGCTCTGTCGAGCTATGCAAAATAATTGTTTTTCATCAGTTTATCATTTAAATATTGACGGTGGTTTTTTTGTTAACACTTCAAGCAAAATAGTTTATTTGCTGCTGTCAGCGACACATTATCAATGAGAATTTAGCCAACTTTTTGCTTGACAAAGATACTTGCCGATATGACGGGCCAGTTGCCAAAAAACATGATTAGTGATCTGCAATTCACAGCAAAATTTGGTGAACTTTGCTTAAGGTCCAAGGACCAGATTGAACATGACAATCATTAACCATCCGCGGACAGATAATGACGAGGAGAAGGATATCATCCGATGCACTTGCGCGAAAAGAACGCCTTGCTGGGTCGGATTGCTCCAACCCATTGAGTTTGCATTTAGATAAAGTAGTGCATGCCTCAAGAAGCTTTTCCCACCTTTGGGAACATTTTGGTAAGTGTTCGTGATGAGACTAATTAGCAAAATCACATATTTTTTCGAATGAATATGAGCACAATATGCCGAGTGCGCGGCAGATTATGCAAAATACGTATGGATGGATACCAGAGGTAGACGACACACAGCAACATAATGGGAGAGATCGATCAGTAAGGACTGTTACCCAACCTACTGATACCGTGTCTGCGGTCTATAAGACTAGTTTTTATCACGCTACATCGGACAGTTAGTGCAGCGGGGCTGCCGTAGCTAAGCGCTTGAGGAAGCGTACTTCAAGTCACCAACCTTTCGTTATTTACAAGAACCCAGTATGAGTTAGAGGATCGCAATCCGCTTACTACAAGCGTAATTATTGCCTTCTCAAGGCTAATTGACTCTTCGGTTTAATTTCAAAACTGATTCTTATTAATTTTTTATCCTTATTTTAGAAGTTTTGATTTTCCTATATATACGAGATATATATATAGTGAAATCTAAATACATGCATAACTACTGGCTACCTCGCCCCGTACCGTATTTTTGTCTGGGTGTGGTCACACCATGCACATACACACCCCTGTTATTAGGGTTCGTGTAACCCCGTTACAATTAGCATTTTAGCCAGATTTTTCAAAGAGAATGCAAATATCTTCTGTATTCTACTTGAGTCTGCCAAAGATATACCATGAACTGCTCACATGACCTTTCGATGTCAAAAAACTCTGTTAAGAATTAAGCAGCATTTCGACCATTTCCTGTGACCGAGCTATCCACTGATATTGATGCGTGCAAGTAAGGATATCTTAAACTACTCGATGCGATGACGTTGCTAGGAGAATATTAACATGACACCATTATGAAGTTAGCTAGACAGTGTCAGACATCTGCTGCCGGTACAAGTCGATGGACATGGAATCGGGAAGGATAGATTTCCGGTGAGTTCCTGAATGCTGTAGCTAGTATCTGTTGAAGTGGAAGAATACCCTCACATTCGAACCTTAAGAAAGTTCGAAACCATACTTCAGCAATATTGTTTCGGCGTCGGTGTCGCTTACAATTCGGCACACTCTCTGTCGTTATCTTCTCGTACGAAGAAGCAGGAATGCTCAGATCAATGCGCCTTGCACTAAATAACATCATTTAACTTAAAATTGGGCTCATAGCGGCTCGAGCAGGCTGATGGAGATGGAGATAAGCAGGTATGTGGCCAGCTCAAAATTAAGGAATAAGGAGCTGCATCGACGTCCGCGTCGCGCGTTGCTTTTTGAAAAGTCAAACATCAAACGGCAGTCCAGGCTGGTGTATGTTGCACTAAATCTAACTTAAGTATATGTGATTCTGTGTGACGCGATAGGTGTTACCGCCCAAAGCGCGTATGTGAGTGCAATACATTTCGGCACATTTGCCAGCGTTCATTAACTAGCGTACAGCTGAATCTATCCAACCGTAGCGCCGGTTGTCTCTCTAGAAGTAGGCATGGAGTGCTTGCGTATCAACTTTCGAACGCTTGCTTCGCTCGCTGGTTGAACAGAGTGCTAGAACACACATGATTTTGCATGTTTTCAACAGCGCGGCGGGCAGCATCATGTGAATGAGAATCATTATTACGACGCGATCGAGTAATCAAAGTCGTTGCAGCTTTTAGCTTGCTGACGGGCGAAATGGGTTTTCTTGGCCAGGTCCAGCCCACAGATTCAAAAGGTTGGTGACGGTGTATTGCAGCTCTTTTCGCTGTCGATAATAACTACTAGGAATGGTCTCCTCGGATCCAGATTAACTTGACGGGCTCATGATGCGAAAAACAGGTGTGATGTTTTCCTGGTGAATATGGGCTTAGGTAATGGTGCTGTAAATAATTCATGCAGCTCGCAATTTCCCACTCCTATTCCCTTCTTGCTAATGGTGTTGACTCGTATGTGGCTGCACGCATGGCATGACCTGCAACTTTTTGGTTCGTTTGCTTGACCGCTTTGCGCAATGTTACGTCATGATATTCGTTTTACTTGTGAGTGTACCGCTACTCAAATTTTTGCGGAACCGGACGCGTGATGTGGCGTTATTTGAATTCCTCGTCCAGCACCTGGTTTGCTCTCAATATCTGAAAGGAATAAATCTCTGACTTGTGTAACACCTGGACGCACGACAGACGGTGATGAAGAAGCTGTTGGAAACAAGTTAAGTCGTACCTAAGTAAACCAGGAGGAGTTATAAAACTCCCA